ACCCCCCCTAATTAATTAAATTAATATAAAATAAAATATATTAATTAAAAAAATTAAAAAACTATCGGAGGTCGTTTTTGACATCAAAAAGCAGCTTTTAATAACTTTACCGAAAAAAAATCCGTGCGCTACAACTTAGGAACCATGAAATAAATTTGATAAAAAACTCCCATTGAAAAACAATTGAGCCTTAACAAAGGCTCATTAAAATCGCGATAAAATTTTTTCGCGCGGACAAAAAATTCTGAAAAAATTTGGGGACCTAAAAAACATTTTAAAAATTCAAAAAAAAAAAATTTGGGAAAAGGCCGAAAGTACCGAGTTTTATGAAACTCTATGGAACTTGCCCGAGGTTTTTCGTGATGTTGATTTTAAAGGGTTAAGTTAGTTTGACCGTTAACCTATTTGATGTTGAAATTTTTGTTTGTTGTCTGTGACGCCATGTTGAATTTTCGTCGATGTTAAGCCTAAATTTTTTTTAAAATAATAATCGTGTTTACTGTATCGTAAAAAATTATTTTTTTATGTTTCACAAACAAAATAAATATATTGAATAATATAAAAACGAAAAAATTTTTATTTTAAAAGTTCGTTTTAATATAAAAATTGTGACACAAAGCGATTATCTAGTATAAAAAATGTTTCCGATGTAAACACGAAATATTCGGGATCGCCGATGCAGGTCAATGAGGTCAACACGAATATTTTCGGGATCAACGTAGAACATGTTGATACTAGTTTAAACATTGCAACTGTTGCTGACATCTTGTTACTCAGCAAATCTGTGCATACTGTGGTTGTTTGAACAAACTCTAGTAATCTTGTTTTGATAAGCTGCAATCGTGGGCCTGAATAGTAGTGAAGGTTCAGTATCCAATAGCAACTGAAGGCTTACATTGTACATTCAAAGTCATAATAATATGTGAATTTATTGGATGTTAATTTCTTATGTGTTTGTGTGTGGTTTTGTATTTGATTATGCAATGTAAATCTTCTGTTACCATTGGCTATTTAATCTTTTGGTATTATCAAAAGTAATTAAGACTGGACTCGTGTCTTAGGAAATTTAATTAGCCAGATTTTTTTGCTTGTTGTATTGTTGAAAGAAATCAATACTTAGATGAGAACATATCAAAACATATGTTTCTGATCAGTCTTGAGATTAATAAATACTCTTGCACTTTTCAGAACAACTTGCAGTTTGTATTGTAGTGCATTGCATAAACATCTGAATTTTAGACATGTTGGTGGTAAGAACAATTTAATTTGTATTTGAGTGGTTAGATATATTGATAGGAGGTTTACTGAGATTGATACATAAAATTTTAAAAAGAAATGAAATATGTTTAAATAAGAAAATGATTTTAACCCTGCGTTAGTGCACTGAGTTTTTTTCGGCATTAGTGCAGTGGGGCGTTTGTCCACCCCGACATTTTTTTGGGTCCATAAACCATGTAAGTAAAAATTCATAAAGATTTACTCATTTATTTGGTAAAGGCATGTGTCATTATACATATGATTATATTCAGGTATGATTACATATTATATTAGTACATAAATCCACGAAAATAAAAAACAACATTTATCAAAACTCATTACATTAGATCTTATTATTAAACCAATAGTAAAAATCTAAATTGTTTTTTAAGCATTTTTGTCACTCTGATTCAATAGCTGACATTGTACTTTGGCACTCAGTGCAAATGACAAGCAACTTGCTATGTTTGGTATTTTCTCAATGTGTTTATGAAAGTCAGCCATTTTGAATTAAAATAAACTTAAATTATTTTTATTCACATTGATTATTATATCTATATTATAAATAATAAATGTGGTCACATTATAGTTATTTGAAAAAAAAAAAAAAACTAAATAAATATTTGTAAAATTTAAAAAAAAACGTAATTAATACTGTGGGGTGTTTGGACACCCCATTGAGAACTGTTGTTTTTCTCTTACTGGAATTTCTGCAGCATCGTAGTAATTTCTGAGCATGCTCTATACATAAAATCATGAAGCTACTGAAGAGGACACAAATATTTCTTGCGAAATCTATGAATAGTGCAACTTTTAAAACGTTGGGGGTGGCGAAACACCCCACTGCACTAGCCCAGGGTTAAGTAATGAATACTGAAAACTATAACAAGGAACATGGGTTATAAAAGCAACAGCTAAACTTTATTGAATGAAACAAAACAATAAAACATTTGAATATTTAAAAAATGCTTTTATTATGTTTTTGAGATTTTGGAGTAGGGAGGATGGGGTTGTGGCCACCCCCTAAAACATTAAATAAATTATCATTGGATTTAAGTATGTCCTCAAGCTTTGAGCCTTAGAAGTGGCTGAAATTTGATTTGGAAGATTTGAGGACGTGATACAAAGCCAGTTAGTGTTTAAAAAAAATACAAGATTACTTTTTAAAATTTTTATTGCAAAGTAATTTTAAAATATTCATAAATAAAAATGATTAAAAAGCATAAATTTTATTGAAGAGTAAAGAGAATATGAAAACCGGCTGTCCAAAAGTCAAGCAATACAGTATTATGTTGTAAAAAGAAGTTTTATTCCCGGAAAGATTAAAAGACTTGTCTATTTTTCAAAACATATAAGTTTCGGGTTTTTGTGATGACTGTTATACCCCGTTCGCACCGAGCATTTCGATCTAGATTGTGACTAAGGTCGGAGCCTGTTCCGTGGTGCGAACGCTCTCGACCGTTTCAATCTCAACCGAAACGAGGTTCAATCGCGATCGACTGGAGAGAGTTCTCAAAACTAGATCCAGTCATAAGAGATCCCACAATCCCACGTGCGCGAGAAAATACAAGATGGCTGCGGAACACGTGTCGGGCTATCGACAGAGAAATAAAAAAGACATCTGGAGAGACGACAACATCTGTCTATTATTAGATGTATAGCAAGAAAAAGTATTTATTTCTAACCAAAACTTCCATTTTGTTTGTTGGTGTTTGTGACTTACCGCGTAGTTAGGTCAGTTTTATGATCGCGTGTAATAGCCACGTTCTTCTCGAGCGGACTGCCTGTGCGAACGGCACGACGTTCAACTAGCAACAGTCACAATCCAGATTGTAGGTAAATCGAGATTGAAGTGAGTCGTGGATTGTGTGTGAACGTAGTATTACAATACATAAAACATTACTTAAAACAGTTTTATGGAAGACAGATGATAAAAATTAATTTTCACAAGTGATTTTTATGATATGGAAAGTAAACCAAGGTCAAAATCCTATTGCACGGTAGTTTGAAATGTTTGTCATTTGAAAATGTATGAAAATACAAATTTGGCATACAAAAATTTTTTTTAAGGATACAAAAGTGTGATTTATGAAAGGAGTTCAAAAATTGAGGACTATTTCCAGCTATTGTTTCACAAAACTTTTTAATAAAAAATGTAGTAGAAAACTTTTGTACTTAATGAATGAAAGAAATTTGTTAATTAATTTTCATTTTATTCATAATTATTTTGACTTATTTTTTGAAATATTAAATAATAGTTTTTTTCTTTTTCAGAAATCTCCAACATTTAGAATTTTCGTTGTTGGGCCGTCACTTTTTTGATAAATTCGAAGTATCAGAAATCCCAGAACATAAGTAAAATTTTTAAATTTATATTTACTTGATAAATGCAAAAAAGAGGGAACAAATATACATATATTTAATACATAAATAATTTTTATTGCAGCATTGAATTGTGGAGAGGAGTTCTTACTTCTATCCAGGAACATGAAACTGGTATGATGATGGCAGTAGATACAGTTCATAAAGTTTTAAGACGAGATACTGTACTTCAGCAGATGACAAATATAGCACAGGAAGACACAAGAAATTCTAAGGATAACTGTATAAAAAAATTAGCTGGTGCAATTGTGATGACTCGGTAATATTTTCTAACCAATATTTCATAAAAATAATTTGAATGACATTAAGATCACATTTAATAAATTTTAAACTTGTTAGTCATAAATACATATTAAGCCCTGTATATAATGAATGTTAACTTTTATTTGTACCAGAAATGCAAATTTATTTAAAATTCTTAAAAATTATTTTGTTAATTCTGCAGTAAATTGACAAGAATAATGGTCAAAACATAACTTTTCAGAATCAACATCTAAATCATGTCTACTAGAAAAAAAATAATGTGAAATTCTATTAAAGATGTGGGAGTTAAAATAAATTGAGAAAAATTTCTTGAATTGTGTTGATTTCTAATTATTAGGAGAGGTGTTTGGTGATTATATGTTAAAAGATTAGTCTTGAATGAACAAGTAAAAAATAATACACACAGTAAAGTAATTCTTTGCAATAGTTTTAATTTGATACTTTCTATAGAGAGAGACTGAAAGGAATGACTGTTAGATGGGATAATTATCAAAAAATATGGGAATGTTGTAAGTGAAATGTAAATTTTATTTAGTTCTTTATTTCAAGATAAAGAATTATCTTTTTAATATTATATTATTAATATACTTACTAGTTAATAGTTAAAATATATTTTAAGTTGAAATAAATATTCTGGAGCTATTCCTACTCTGAATTTTCTGAATGAAGTTTATATAAGCATTTCATTAGCTTCAACTAAAATTTAAGTTCATTGATGTTCAAGTTGTTAATTGTATCCTTGTTGACACTCTGTTAAGGTATTTTGCAGTGCTGTGAGGGATATAAATTTGAATATGATCCAATCTTCATAATAATGAAAACTTCAATAAATTAAAACTAATGAATACAGAAATATCAAACAGTGACAGATTGTAATATTATTGTTAATTGTCTACTTGGACATTATTTATTAATAGGACTTAATACTGGTGTTTAAAGATTGACACAGCAATGAGAGTTAGTTCAGGAAAGAGCAAAATTTCTTTATTATATCACCTGTAGTAATAGTTTCTGTACACATATTACACGTGTTTCGGGCTAGCATGCCCCTCATCAGCAGTACTACTACCACACATTAAAAAGTAACAATAATAACAAGATAAGTTATTGTATAAGTTAAAATTTTTTACATAGCCATAAAAATAATTTTAAAAAACTTACTGTAAATACATATTCCAAACCCGAGTATAAATGTATTTTTCTTGTTGTATAATTAATTAAGGAGTTAAACATTTCACTGTATAAATAAATTAAAATATAATAAATAAAGGTTGTAAATTATTAAAAACTAAAAACATTACGTAGGAAACCAAAAGAACTCGCAACAAGGTTCAAATTTTCGCAATTCAACAGTATTATGGTAGAGAGGCTTAACTATGCTTTTTTATAAACGTCATCTAGTATGGTGCTCCAGGATTGGTGGATTATACAGTGATAGATTGATTCTATGGTGCATTTTTAAATATCATCATCATGTACTAATGCTAAAATATACATTAGTTCTTATATGTGCAGGTGGATAGGATCCTCAGTCACTCTCTTAGACATAAATATGGTGGGTGCTTAAATTTCCCTGACCATAAATTTTTTTACACATTTACATTCTCCCTGCCTTATTTTACATTTAACTTCAGCTTGCTTTGGCTTCTGGAAAAAAAACTCTAATTGTCAGTGATATCAAATGGAAATACCTATGTTTAATGTATGCTTTAGACATGGAAGTTATATGATTAGTAGTCCATGATGCATAGTTGTTATTACTTGATCTTGATTAGCCACACACAATCATTTAATCTGACAAGGATTTGGACATAGGGTTGCTAGAAAATTACTGATAGACCCATGTATAAAATAATGCCAATTAAAATTTTAAACTTTGTTTCTATTTGTACTGAATTTAAAAATTTTTTTTCAGTTATAATAACCGTACTTACCGAATTGAGGATATTGATTGGAACAAAGATCCAACTCATACTTTTGAAATGAAAAATGAGAGAATTTCTTATATGCAGTATTATAAAAGAGTAAGAATATCTAAAGTTTATAATTTTTTTTTTCATTTTTTCTGTTAAGAATTATTATAAAATTCTCTTGTAATGGGGAATAAAGTTGATGAAGTTATTAAATAATTTAACTGTTAAGAAAGTTATGTACAATGTGAAGCTTTAAATTATTCAAGTAACATCTTTATTGAGAATGTATAAAATATACATCATACCAGATTGAACAAGATGTTTTATCTGGTAAGACAACTATTCTTCATATTTTTGTGGGTTTTTAACAGTTTCTTCTACTTGTCTAGGATATAAATCTATAGAAACGAATTAGTTGAACTCTGTTACAACAAACAAAGATGTAACGAGCAAAATGTCATAACAGTTCTTATTTATGCGTATTTTTGTACAATTCTCAGTTATAGAGTTACTTCATGGATATACCAAGCAAATTTTTGGTAGCTGTGCAAACGTGAACATTCTTAACTGAAAGGATTACTTAGTTTATGACCACTGGATAATTAGTTTATGACCTGCATGGATTAGAGGCCAATNCAACAAACAAAGATGTAACGAGCAAAATGTCATAACAGTTCTTATTTATGCGTATTTTTGTACATTTCTCAGTTATAGAGTTACTTCATGGATATACCAAGCAAATTTTTGGTAGCTGTGCAAACGTGAACATTCTTAACTGAAAGGATTACTTAGTTTATGACCACTGGATAATTAGTTTATGACCTGCATGGATTAGAGGCCAATCAAGTGACTTTATTTTTGAAAAACTCCCATTTTTTGACTAGCTTCCAGCTCTACTCTGCCAATCTACCTAATTTTAAAATGACTGTATACTATACTTAGAAATGAACCTTTCTGTGAGAAAGATGTAAAAAGGAAAGAAAACGTCTCTTGGTTTATTAAAAAGTAGAAAATATTCACGTGTTAAAATGCAGTGCTAAAAACGTTTAAGCATGTAGAAAATTTTCTTTGTCATCTTCAACAGTATTGACATTATGAAAAAATAATGCAAATACCAATTTTAAGATTTGTAGATAAAAAAGACTAACTGAAATTGGGCATATTATTAATTAGTATTATCTTTAATTGTGAAAAAAAATTGTTTGTTATTAATTATGTTGTAGTTTATATAACTATCAATGAAAATACAGTATAATGTAATTATATATATAATTTTGCCACCTTTGGAGTACCCCTATATGTTTGTGCCCAAAGCAGCCGCCCATTATTTCCCTAGTTGTTACATCTGAAGAGTAGTGCCATAAGTAATGGTTATAACAAGGAAATCTGTCAGTCCCATAATGCTTATTATAACTGGGTTCAAATGTATATAGTATAAATTTAGTATCTTATACTGTTTGATATTGGCAAATTGAATCAGTAATCAGTAGACAAAAATGTGTGTGTATTTGCAGTTAAATCTAATAAAAATTAGTTTGTTCTTAAAAGTAATTCAAATTTTTTATTTCTTAGCAATATGACATAACTATTAGAGATGGCAGGCAGCCATTACTCTTATGTAAGTCAAAGCAGAGAGAACTGAGAACTGAGAAATCAAATCTCATATATCTCATACCAGAACTATGCTGCATGACAGGTGTGTAGATTTTTTTTTAATTTAAAATAATTGAAGTCATTGTTACATATTTCTACACAAAATTATTCTGTTTATAGGAATAACTGACGAAATGAGGGCAGATTTTCGTGTGATGAAAGACTTATCGATGCATACGAGATTAGAACCTGGCAAACGTGTGTCTAATTTGCTGACATTTATCAACCGCATTAACAGGTTAGTTTGTTTATTTAGAATCAAAAATATACACTTCATTATATTTATTTCGGAATGAATTTTTTTTATAGACATAGTCAAATCAGGAGAGAGATGGATGGGTGGGGAATTAAGTTTGCAGATCAACTGGTGAAAATGGAAGCCAGAGTGGTTCAAGCAGAAACAATATTGCACCAGGGTGCTCAAGTATGTTTTAAAATTATTTTGTTTTTATTATTGTTACATATTATTTGTATTTATAAAATATTCTCTTTTTTTAGTCCACATATGATCCGTCAACAGCAGACTTTTCGAGAGAGATGCGGGGCAAGTCTATGTTCATGTCAATTCCTTTGACTAAATGGATTCTTATTACACCATCTAAAGAGAGAACCAAGGCAGAGGATTTTGTTCAGACTTTAAGAAGAGTCTGCCCTCCAATGGGGATGCAAGTCTCACCACCAGATATGTAAGACTTTAAATTTCTATGTATAAGTTTAACAAATACCATATCATTTTAAAGTTTTGTAGTCTTTTATCTTTGTTATTTTTATCCTTTAAATAGATAAAATGTAATTATAAATAAAAAAAATTAGATGAGTAAGAATTACTTTGTGAAAACTATTAACCACTCAGCAGTGACTGACGAATATATCCGTCAAGGGTGATCATTTGGCACTGGTGAATGACAGCTATATCTGCAAAAATTTTTTTGTGGATATTGCCAAAAACTACTGCGAAAAAAAATTCACATAAAAAGGGAATTATGTAAAAATAAAAAAAAAAAGACTTTTGTTTATTAGACTTAACTGTTTACAAAATCTATTTCCAAAACAGTAATGAGAAAAAACATATGGGAAAATACTTCAAAAATTTCCCACATTTATTCTCCACTACATAGGGATACAGTGGTACCTCAGGATACGAAATTAATCCGTTCAGAAACTGAGATCGTATTATGAATATGTCGTAAGGTGAATCATTTTTTCCCATACGATTACATGTAAAGCCAAGTAATTCGTTTCAACACGAAAAACACACTCAAAGCTAAGTAGTATATTAAAAAAAATAACTATAGTAAGGAAAACACTGAAAAATGAGTTTTGTACTTGTAAATGTATAAATAATTATAATAGAATAATAATTGATTAAAAAAATGTAGTTTTATTTGCACTTTACTCTGAGGATAGACGATGGTGGAGGTGTAAACTGGTGGCGGAAGACAGGTAGAAGGGAAATGATACTAAACCTTACCTTACATAACATAATGTAACAATAACTTATAAATAACTTAGAAAAAATTTTTTTTAAATTAGTATTGTTTTATATATATATTTTTTAATTTTTATTCACTGCTATTTGTTTTCTTTCCTTCACTTTCACTGGATAGAGGTTGCTTGGTAAAATATCTATCTAAAGAGGTTTGGCTTTGCCTACTTTTNAATTAGATGAGTAAGAATTACTTTGTGAAAACTATTAACCACTCAGCAGTGACTGACGAATATATCCGTCAAGGGTGATCATTTGGCACTGGTGAATGACAGCTATATCTGCAAAAATTTTTTTGTGGATATTGCCAAAAACTACTGCGAAAAAAAATTCACATAAAAAGGGAATTATGTAAAAATAAAAAAAAAAGACTTTTGTTTATTAGACTTAACTGTTTACAAAATCTATTTCCAAAACAGTAATGAGAAAAAACATATGGGAAAATACTTCAAAAATTTCCCACATTTATTCTCCACTACATAGGGATACAGTGGTACCTCAGGATACGAAATTAATCCGTTCAGAAACTGAGATCGTATTATGAATATGTCGTAAGGTGAATCATTTTTTCCCATACGATTACATGTAAAGCCAAGTAATTCGTTTCAACACGAAAAACACACTCAAAGCTAAGTAGTATATTAAAAAAAATAACTATAGTAAGGAAAACACTGAAAAATGAGTTTTGTACTTGTAAATGTATAAATAATTATAATAGAATAATAATTGATTAAAAAAATGTAGTTTTATTTGCACTTTACTCTGAGGATAGACGATGGTGGAGGTGTAAACTGGTGGCGGAAGACAGGTAGAAGGGAAATGATACTAAACCTTACCTTACATAACATAATGTAACAATAACTTATAAATAACTTAGAAAAATTTTTTTTTAAATTAGTATTGTTTTATATATATATTTTTTAATTTTTATTCACTGCTATTTGTTTTCTTTCCTTCACTTTCACTGGATAGAGGTTGCTTGGTAAAATATCTATCTAAAGAGGTTTGGCTTTGCCTACTTTTTAAAATGTTTCTAAAATGATTTAGGCAAATGTCATTAATTCGAGCAGCAATACGGCCTGTGTGAACCTTTTCGGGATATTTATTTTTAATAAAATCAGTCACTTTCTGATAATACCTTGAGATTTTTTTTTATCAAGCAATGAAGCAAACACACGGACTGAGACCAATGAACAGAAGTGAATAAAAAATGGCGCTGCAAACTAATGTAACGTTGTATGGTGAGTTTTTGTTTGTATCATGGAGCAAAAACATGTTCGTACTTCATGTTGTATGCTTGGGGCATTTGTATCCTGAGGTACCACTGTATATGATAAAAAGTTTTTTATTTCATTCATAATCTACAACTGTGAAAGTATATTGCTCTGAAAAGAAGAAAAGAAAGTTCTTATTTATTAATAAATTTTAATACATTAAAAAAAGTATCAACATTATAATATTTTGAAATTAAAATTTTTTTTTTTTTTGTTATTTGCAGTACAGTTATTAATGATGTGAGACCTAACACATATATAAGTGCAATGCGCTCAACTTATAATCCAGAACTCCAGATGATTGTTGCATTAGTACCAAATAATAGTAAAGACAGATATGATGCTATTAAGAAATTAGGTTGTGTAGATCTTGGAGGTAAGGAATTTGATTTCTTAAATGAAGCTACTTATTTAAATATTACAATTAATTTACATATTTATTCTTTAGTTCCTACACAAGTAATTGTTGCAAGAACTTTATCAAAAAAACAGATGTTGATGTCTGTTGCAACAAAAATAGGAATACAGCTTAATTGTAAATTAGGAGGAGAAGCTTGGGCAGTTGCCATACCGGTAAGCCAATTTTTTTTCTACAAAGTGACAATTTAAAGATATAACATAATTTAATATGTAAAGTAGTTTACATTAATTTTAGTGTCAAAAAGCAATATTAAATTTTTGAAAAAATTTCAGTTGTCTGCTCCACTGATGGTGATTGGATTTGATACATACCATGACTCGAGTCGCAAGGGTCATTCTGTTGGTGGATTTGTAGCCAGTTTGAATAAATCTTTGACTAAATGGTATTCCCAGGTTTCTTTTCATCAAACTGGAGGTTGGCAAGAGATGTCCGATACTATGAGTGTTCATATGACAAGTAAGTTTTAATTTGTATTGTTAAAAAAAAATTACTTGTGAAAAGTAAATAAATTTCTTGTTTCTTCAACACATAATACATGATTTCAAATGATTGCTATTTTACAAAATATCATTTTAATCTCTATGTTGCCAAAAATTAAAATTAAATGTGCTTAATTTTCTATTATTTTCAGTTTAGTATTTAAATAAATTTAAGAGTGTCATCTAAGTAACCATAAATTATTGAAATTATAAAATGATATTGAATTTATGAAATACAGTAGAACCTCGATTATCCGGATCTCTATTATCCGGATTGTTCAAAATAAACAAAAATTTTATGAATTTGCTGATTTGCACTTGGCGAATTACGACACTGTTTATGTACGTGATGGAATGCATAACTTTTTTTGTTTCAACAACGTCTCACCCAGTGGTTGTAAACTCTTGATATATTTTGCGTCGTAATAAAAATATAACTTGACATACGTATTTATAAATAATTTATATTCAAATTACATCATTTCTATGACCAAGGGCGGCGTAAGGCATGGGCAACGTGGGCCACCGCCTATGCCTCACGGTCCGAAGGGCCTCGCGTTTCGAAGGTTTATCCATTACTTAAAAACCGCGAACGCGACGAAAAAATTTTACTCGTCATAAAACGATAAATAGTTTGTCAAATTTTTATTCATAAAAATG